ATACATATATATATATATACCTGTCTGTCTCTGCATATATATATATAGATGTGTGTGAATTTTAAACACCCGGAGGATGGACCATAGTTTTCTGTTCGGTTTCAGAAACCGCATTTTGCGCCACGACCAGGATGGGAGTGTGGGAGTTGCTATTCAGATAAGTACCCTAATCCCTGAACCTGAAACCCTAGACCCTAAAACCAGGATTCAAGTTTAAACCCTGCACCCTAACCCAGGTTTCGATACCCTAAGCCTGCCTTTGCAAGATTCCAAACCCATCCACGCATGATTCGACTTGAAGGTCGGGTCTCAGCTGTCAGTACGGTGTGGGCGGCGTCGGGCGTAGAGTTCCGAGGTTGAGGGGTGCGTTGGGCTAGGATCCGGACACTCGCTAAGCAGGTTGGAAGAAAAGTGCTCATATTCATTTGGGTATAACACAGTAGTAGTCAGTGCTCCATTGGGGTTTGCATTTTAGAGCCTGAGTTGCCAAACCTTCTTACCGAAGTGTCGTGATCCTTTACCAAGGCTACTGTCAGTTGTAGCTTCATGGTGGGCTTTTCAAGGGTTGTTATGTGAGGTCGGTTTTAGGTCAGGTGAGTGTGCGCTTGGGCTGTTATCATGCAGATACTGGAAACTGGAAGCCATGCTTCCGACCTGTGTGCAAATTCTCACGGGATCTATGGAACTACACCTAGAAACTGGTTGGGGGCGTATGCTACCATCTAGATGTGCTCGAATTTCTCTAATTTTGGGGTTTCCATCAGATTTACTAGGCCATTCCAGAACGCGTTTGCAACTGCACCCTCACTGACTCAGGTAAGTTCTCTCCGATGCACGCGGTGCCCAAAGGGCGTTGAGCACTCAGTCACCTGTTTCTGGGCTCGGCGATTTCAGCTCGGGAGGGTAGGGTCTACAGGTGGCCATTGGGATGCGTATTAAGGTATCTATCTTTATAACGTGATTTGAAAATTCTAACACCCCAACCCGAAGCCCCGAAGGTTGAATAGACCTTGATCACCACATTCTGAACCCCTTCGGTACCGGTTTCCTTCCGTCTGACCCCTGAACATAATCTAGAAGCCTAAAAGATCAGCCTTATCCGCGCGAATACAACTATGCTAATCTAGCCCAAGCCATATTCCAATTATTAAGGCCCCCGAGTCATGGGGGCAACCTGCCAAGAGTTGGCAGCCTTTGTATATTAACTGAAAATAGGGGGGAGAGGGGGAAGTAGGGCCTGAGACGACGGTAACCCTAGCTAGTGAGCTTGGGGACGAGAAAGGGGACATCCGAAGTACGAGCCCTTCGGGTCTTTGATAGTGGCGCTTTGGGTGATGATGAGGGTAGTTGGTCCTCAACCCGAAGCCGTCAACTCCTCAACCATATAATCCTTTGGGTTGCGTTGAGGGGGTCTTTTTTGCCTGTCGGTTCCTTGGTGTCGTTTTTTTGGGGGCTTCGGTTTCAAGGGTTTTTCTGTTGGGGATGTAGGGTACTGTTTCACTTGATGTTTCGGTGTGTAAGTTCAACATGCAAAAAGTTCGGGTTTGAAGTGTTATTGACTTTCACGGTGTTGAAATGCAAGGTACTCGGGTTCAAGGTGCCATGCAAAATTTGGAACCCAGACATCCCACCAATATAGAAGCCAAAATAATTACATATATTATTCTTTACGTCTCCTTATTATTATATGTATGGTATAAAAGAGCCGAAAACCCTAGTCTAATTATTAAGGCTCCTACATTACGCTTTAACAAGCTATATACCTTTCAACGGGTGTATGCCTCAAACTAGCCGCAAACTCTGATTGCCGATGAGTTTTGACTATAGACCTTGGGATCTTGCCGGTTCTGGTGAACCTGTCTGGCGTGGCTTCCATCGTCTTAGGACTTGTCTTAAGATCCTTTTGTGTGCGCGTTGCTCATGATTGTTGTGGAACCAGGCTCTCGTTGTTTCTGGACCGATTGCTGCAACGGCTTTGCTCTGCTGTGCGACACGTGTGTTAGTTGTTCTATCTGCACGCTGGGTTTGGGTTAGCTTGTCTAGAGCCGCCAACAATTCGAGCACTGCCATATCTTCCCTTCAATTAGCACTTTTAGCCAAACGTAATGCAGGAATACTTGAAACATACTTGTATGAGTACCATATATATATATATATAGATAGACACACACATACACGTTATGTTGCATACTCAACTTTTCCCTAGTAGCTCAGCCCTATCACCAGACCGGCACTAAACAAGAAATCAAAGTCTTGGCGACACTTCTGAATACCCCGATGCCCCTAAAAATCGTTATAGAAAACCGTTTGAAGGCCCTATCGGCCTCTAGAAAGCCTCACAACCTCTGAACTCTAAACCCCACAACGCTGGTGCCTTGAGCCCCCGGCCCAGCCCCAAAGTAAGCCGCGGTGGCCATGTAAATCTGGCTGCAGGTTTATGGGGTTCAGGGTCTATGACTTGTGGTTTAGGGTGTAGGGGTTAGGGTTTAGGGTCTATGATTTGGGGTGATTTGGGGTTAGGGTTTAGGGCCTAGGGTCTATGATCTGGGGTTTGGGGTGTAGGGCTTAGTGTTCAGGGTCTATGATATGACAGTTGGGGCTTAGATTCTAGAGTCTAGAGTGCTTGCGGTTTAGGCCGAAGGCATGTAGGAGCCTAATGGCTTCGGTTGCTTGGGATGCTCCCAGCAACAGGCGACAAGTGAACGGGACCGGTCAAGATTCCGAGGTTCCAAGGGGAAGGTTTCAAGCCTAATCCCATAGGCCCCTAAGTAGTTCCTTTTTGGGATTACCTTATAGGGATCTAAATATAAACCATAAAAAGGAACTACTTAGGAGCCTATGGGATGTTGGCCAAGCTGGTGTCTTCGGAATTTACCTTGTACGCCCACAACCTTAACATATCTTACCTTGTAGTTCTAGTCTAGCAACCCCAAACACACCGTGACTGTGTCCACTTGCAAGCTAAGCGTAAGCTATAAGGTGTTACAGGCCAGCGATCAAGTCGCGTTTCGTCTGTAGCTTGCGCAATGAAGCTAATTTTTCTGCCGCAGCTCATAGCAGCTTGACCTTGATGCCAGGGCATCATTCGTTATATGAGCATGTCTTTTCGAGAGCCGCGATGCAGGAGAATGCGATGCGGTATGCATCTAGTAACTGGTATCTTGCACCACATGCTTTCGTCATGTTGTGTCTGATACTTGACAGCAACCATGTGCCCCTGAAGAGCTTGCTTCCCTCGTCTTCTCTTTGTCAGACGGTGGTAGAGTCTCATCAAGGTTTAGGCTCGACTATAATACATTTGGTGTCATAGGTCCTAGAGTCGAGGAGTCGGTTTAGGGTTTAGGGCTTTAGGGTTTTAGGGTTTAGGGTCTTCAAAAAGCCTGATCGAGTTGGTCAGCCATAGCACCCCGTTTCGCGCAGAACAGCGCTGTTCTAGCAGAAGCTCGCGCGGACACATCCAATTCTCAAAGGGGCCGGCCCCATCAAGG